ATGATGCAAATAAGGCACTGTGCTTTGCTTATGTGTAAAGAAAAATAATGTTTGATAGTAAGTCTCTGTTTAAAATACATGATTTGGCATTTCTAAAATATTAAAATGTAAGTACATTTTCATTTATTGATATTGGTCAACAAATATAAAGAAAGCAACTTTAGTTAAAATAAATTAAGCAGAGATATAAATAAATGAGATCTTCATAACTTTTTCACATTGGTTTTCCTATTTGGGTATCAGCATATATTATGTAGTCTCAGGCCCAAGGCCACAACAAAATCACAATCTTTGTCAGACTCTGGAGAGGTAAAGCTTCACGTTGTTAAGAGACAGCTGATATTGCCTATGTTTGCCACCATGTTTCCCTGCCTCTCAATTCACTGAAAAACTAACCATCCATCCATACATACATATTTCGTAATTTCTCTTTTAATATTTTAGAGGTCCACAAAGAAGGCATAGAGGCAAAGAACATGCTTTATAGTGCTCTACAAATAGTATTCTCTTGATTGTGTTTAATTGAAATAGCATTCTCTTATCACTTACCAACCTTTTATGTATTTTCAAAATAAAACATTAAAATATTGTCTCATTGGTCTCCATCTTCTATCCAGTTCTGCAAGAATGCTATTTTTTTTTTCACTTTCTAACATAAAGTATTGTTTTCTATTTTTGATCTTGAGCTACAAAGCAATATTTCCAAAAAGAACTATACTGGCTGGTCAGAAGTGAACAAACATTTTAATTAAAATTAGTAAAAATAAATAATAACAATAGTAATCACACACTATAGAAAATAGCTAATCTGATACACCCAATGCAATAAACAGAAACAAAGTTAAAGTTATATACTCTTGATTGGTTACTGAGTTTCCCTATATTAAGCAATCCTAAGGCTATTTACACGACATAAACAGACAAAATATATTAAAGAACATATAAGAATAGGCTTTCTTAAACTCTCAAATAGCATTACTCAATTAGCTCTCTTGGTATACATTTTGATTTATTAAAATAATTTATATTCTTAGATTTTCAGAGAAATTATTTTGCAATGAAAGGTTTTTTATAGCACATCAATCAAACTAAATATCCCACTTCACATTTTTGGAGATTTACTAATTACTCATTTCTAATGACTAATTACTCTGAAACACTTATTAAGAATATATTTGATTTCATAGATAGTTTCAGGCACTGTAGAATTGAGGAGGAGAAGTCAGAATTGTAAAATTGAGAAGGTCATATGTGACATGAGCTTCAAGGAATGCCAATCGATTTACCAAATATAAAAGAAGAGAAGGGCATTCTATTCAAAAGTGACAACCTAAGCAAAGTCACAGAAGTTTGAAAGAGCATGGAACATTCAAAAATATAAAGTAGGTCAGTGTGGTTAAAGCATAGTTTTCATTGAGAGGAGAAGAAAGATAAATTGGGAACAAAACCAGAGTGTCCTATGTGCAATCCTAAAAAAGTTGGAATTCACTCTATACCAAAAGGAGAACAAGGGAAAGTCATAAATAAGCTGTATTTTATAAAGGTAATAGCGGTGGTGATATTTGTAAGTAATTTTGATGAGCTATGCTGTGGAATGGGTAGAGTAGAGACTAAGAGACTAGTTAATATGGACTAGCTCATGGAGATAGGAGGAGGACCTGTCCCAAAAGATAAAAACTAATTCTAACTAATCTTAAGTATAAGAGAATCCTACACCCACTATTTTGTAAACATGGCTTTGAGCAAATCATAGCAAAAAATCATGAAATTATAAAGGAAGAAGGCAAGAAAAAAAGAGGAATAAAACAACAGTAAGACAGACATAAAACTAATAACAAANACATAACTGCAACCATAATAAATTAGCTACAATATACAGTATCAGTTTCTTTAAAATGAAACGAGAAATTAATGAATTTTGTGATGCAATCTGAGCAAAGTGTTCCAGATTTCATAATGGTTCCCTAATCCTTTAAATCATATTGCCCACTCCTAATTCTATAGCAATACTTTAGCCATTTGCCTTTAAGAAATCTTTCCAAAATATTAAACTTATTTATTAGAAAAACAATATCCCTCTCTTTTTTACAATTGTATTTATCACTTCCCATATGTTTAAATAGATTATTAACATGCAAACTGGAATTTAAAAGTTTAGGAATTGACAAAACCAGCTTTTGTTAAGCACACACTTCTGGGGAATTAGACAGCAATGTGTAGGTTTTATTTATTTAGCCTTCACAATACCATGGATACGATTAAACTCATCAGAAGAAATGGAGAATCTTGGGTAATCTGGTAAGTCTCTTAACTGGAGTTTTTTCAACT